CTGACTTCAATCTTATACATCTCCCCACGAAATTGCACCCTGGTTTTCATTTGTCAACAGTATTAGCCTGGCCTTCAAAATACTGAGAGAAAAGAAAAAAATGTCGATTTTGAATCAGTGAGTTACGTACGGGCATTAAAAAATGAATATTTAAGCCGCCCTGCTTCCTATATATAATTTGTCGTAGCCAGTTGAATCCTCACATCGAGTTGAAACCCACAAGAATTCACTCCTCACATTCTCATGGCCAAATCCACTTTCTTCGTTTCTCTTAACCTCTGTTTCCTCTTCTCTGTGGTCACCGCCACATACTATCAAAGTCTAACACCAACACTGATGGGTTTCCGCGAGGACAAGTTCACCCACCTTCACTTCTTCTTCCACGACGTTGTCACGGGCCCCAACCCTAGCATGGTCATTGTGGCCGAGCCCAACGGAAAAGCCAAGGACGCCCTTCCCTTCGGAACCGTTGTGGCCATGGACGACCCCCTCACCGCCGGACCCGAACCCGACTCCAAGCTGGTGGGGAAGGCGCAGGGGATTTACACTTCTATTTCGCAGGCGGAGATGGGGCTGATGATGGTGATGACCATGGCCTTCACCGACGGAGACTTCAACGGCAGCACCATCAGCGTCTTGGCCAGAAACATGATCATGAGCGAGCCTGTGAGGGAAATGGCCATTGTTGGTGGCACTGGGGCTTTTCGCTTCGCACGTGGCTACGCTCAGGCCAAGTTTCACTCTGTTGATTTCTCCAAAGGCGATGCCATCGTTGAATACGACGTCTTCGTCAACCATTATTGACGACACCTATTACTATTATTATTCACCATTTTTATTTTTTCTTTGTAATTCGCTTCACCCTAATTCTCTTTCCGTCCCTGTCCTAATGTCACTGTCTTCCCATTGTTATCACTCCATCTTCCTCCTCCTCTTCTTTTTAACTTTTTCCCTGTTCTGTTTCCTATTAAGAAATTAATGTAGAGATTTTTTTCTTCATGAATGCTCTTAAGTGTCATATAATATAAGCATTGGAAAGTGATAGATAGCTAGTGGAATGAAAAACTTCAAAATTATTCATGGGTGTTTGTCATTGTCCTCCTGTTGTTACTTTAACTTTTTCCTTCAGAACATCATTGGCATTGGGCTTCATATTGGTCGATGTCTTTGACGTTAATAATATATTATTAATAAATAAATATATAAAATTATAAATATATAAATAATTATATTAAATAATTATTAAATTTAAGAATGATAAAATAATAAATTATATAAAAATTAAAAAAAATTATAAATATACAAATAAATATATTAAATAATTATTAAATTTTGTATTAAAATCATACATTATATAAAAATTATAAAATTTTAGTAGTAACCATCCTTTCAACTTTAAAGAAAATATGTTACTTCCTACTACCGTAGAAATAAATGTAGTCATTTAATCAGAGAAAATAGCTGGAAGTTCATTTTTCTACAAATATTAAGACCTTGAACGCAACACTGTTACCTGTTTGATGTTGCCTTTGAGATTAATGTTAAGAGTTACTCCAACGGTATATGGAATTAAATTCTATATAATATTCTCGCCCAAAAGATTTTATAGTAAATATAGTTAGTTGAGTACAAAAAATAGCATCTTTACTATTACTATTAATTTTATTGGTCATCAAGTATTAAATACAGTAACACAAAAATATATCAACGGGTAATTGCGTGGAGAATGATCTGTTGAATGTTTATCAGTTTTACACATGGAGAAAGACTATTTTTTTATAATATTGATTATATATATAATATTTAAAAATATAAAAATGCATAGAGAACCATTGTAAATCATAAAACCTTAACTACTTTGACGTTTAGTTACGAACATGTATATTTATTGTAAAAGCTTATAACCTTTTTATAAACATTATATATTATTTTTTTGTACTCTCTCGATTTATAAAAAGTCAAAAAATTTCTTGAGGCTTTTTAAAAGAAAAATCACCACAAAATTATTTTGATTACGAAGGTTTGAATATAGAGGAAAATTTGTGATATTTTATACATTAGAGGACAAAATTTATAAGATTGTGCAACTGTGGAGGTCAAAATGTAATTAAGCATACAATATATGTAATTGATTTCGTTTAATAATTTTGAAAGCGAGATAATGAAGGGAGCACCGTTGAATCATTTGTTGAAATAGTCCAATGGGTCATTTCACATTTTTCTCTTCTTTTTTTTTCAAGTTTCTCTTAAAAATAGATTAAAAAGTCTATTTACACTTTTCATTTTTCCATCTTTTAAATTTTTCCTCTTTAAAATATAAATTAGAAAATAAATTTTCTTCCTTATATGTTGAATGACATGCTAAAATAAATTTTATTTGTTATTCGGATTATCTATTCTTAATCAAATTATTAAAGAAGCTAAAGTGATCAACATAACTGAAAAAAATGAAAATAGCTCATTTTTTTCCTTATTAAGTACAATAGTAGAATTAGAATACTTGAGGGATAGATCTACTTTTAAGTTTGGTAATTTGTTCCGTGTCAAATAAAAATAAGATCTCCTAAAATCTTTTTTATTTTAATAGTATAGTTTGTTTTGAAATCTTAAAGGGTTAGATTATTAATTATAAAAAATAATTTATTATTTTACAATTTTTTATAAGTAAGAATTTAATCTTAATAATGAAAATCTTAAAATATATCTTGTGTAAGTTTTTGAAAATGAAAATTCTAGTAATAAAATTATAAAGAGAATGATTATATTTAAATAACTAACTTATAAATTAATGAACGATAATATAACCGTTATTTATTTGTTTATCTCTAATACCAAAAATTTAAATAATATTTAATAGTTTATACAAAGGATAAATTAATTTCCTTCTTCCAATGTTTGACCAGGCACGCGAGCACGTGGGTGGCGGCTAAGAGTAGCAAATAGTCAAGCATACGTGACTAATAAGATTCCTAAGTCAGCTGCATCATTTAACTGAAAGTTCCAAGATCACATCGGTAATATATTATCTTCTCTAAAATGTAAACAATTCATATTGAATATATAAAATTGTATATAAATATTATATATATATATATATATATATATATATTATTCAATTACTTAAAAATAAAGATTATAAATTTTGAAATACATCTAATAATTATATAAAAATAAATAAATAAATATGACATAATAATTTGAGATAAATAAATATAATAAAATAAATTAATGACGTATCACTCCACACTCGTTAATAAAAATAACTATTTGATTATTTAATAATATCAAATAATATGCTAAATTTTACATAAATAATTTATTTTTCTCCTTCCCTCTATCTCTTTTCTCTCTCTTTCTTGTTTCTTATTTCTCCTTTTCCTTTCATTTTATTTAAATTTTAAAAATTTATTATTTTTAGGAAGTTTAAATTTATTGGGTTTTGAATTAGTTTTATTTTTAAATAATTTATTTAGATAAAAACAATTCAAATGTATTGAATATTTTTTTTTCCAATTACCTCAAAAAAATTATTTTAATTTTAAATAATAATTAATTATTTAAACATATCAGTTGGGATGTTTTTCGTTCAATATTATTTTGTAAAAGTTCACCAAGATTGTTTCAGTGATGTCAACAAACATTTTTCGTAGTTGATATTTGTTAAGATTATTTTCTATTAATGTAGATCACAATAATTTTAATTGATATTAACTAAACAAAATTCTAACTTATATAGGCTAAAAAAAAGCCTCATTATGGTTTAGAAATTCTTCACTATCATTAATTAACTGAGAAATAATCTTGATTTATATTCGAGTAAAATTAATTATAATCAACATCGACTGAACGGTAATTATAATTAATATTAATTGAAAATAATCCTATTCCACGTCAACTTATAAAAAAATAAAAAAATATTTGACATTAAAGGAATAAAATCTATTTTGTTTTAGCGTAAATTGAAAAAAAAATTCCTCAATTAACTTAAACGG